TGGAAATTGTAGAGAGGCGAGGACTGGAGGAGGAGGGAGTGGTGTAAAGTGAGATAATACTGTGGGGGTGGGGACAGTAAGATTGAAGAGTTGTAATAAGGGAGGAAGAGGTAGAAAATGATGACTGTGCAGGAGATGGGTTGCAGGATGTTGGGAGTGAGGAAGGGGTGTCTTTTGAAGGTTGAGTTATAATCTGGGTAGTTGATTCGGGCTGAATCATAGTGACAGCACATGTCGAAGAGGGGAGTGTAGAAACAGTGGTTGGGGCTGTGATCAAATGGAGAGTATGTGTCTGAGGAAGGGAGAGTAATACTGTATGGGGAACTGCAAAAGACCTACTATGAACCATGGTAATACGGCAAGAAACGACGTTTGTGGAAGTAGGAGAAGAATCCTGAGAATTAAATAAGAAAATAGGGAAAGGTGATGAAGTATCGGGAAGAGTGTCAGGAAGGGAAGGATCCACAGAATAGTGTAGTATGACATGTCATTCCGTAGGACTTAACTGTTAAAATTGATTTTTTTGGTCCAATGGGTTGATTTAGGGTCAAACTTGGGTAAAATGATGGGGTTCAAATTTTCCCACCCCTGCACCCCAGTTTGGGGGCATTATGACCCCCCGGGGGTAAGAAAACAAACTAATACTCTAATTTCACTAATAATTGTTTGATTTTCATCATCTTTTTTTCTTTTTAGGGTACTTTTGCACAAGAAATTCATTTATCATGTTTCTATAGAGATAGTGTGGATGTGTAAAGAAGTTATGGATGGTATTGATGATCTCCAGTGATCTCCAATGCCGACCAACATAAGCAAACTACAAATGTTTTCTTAATACCGGTGACTTTTAAGCACATTGAAATAAAAAAAACTCATTTCACTATTCAAATTAGTTTAATAACTAATATAAGCACAAAATCAAATACATAAATTTGACTGAGAATAGATAAAGCAAAATCAGAAGAACACACTACAGAAAATCACAATCCTGTATATCGCTACTATAACCATTCATTTAACCCATTTCATTAAGTGAGTTTATTCATCAAGATCTTCCTCATTCACATCAATATCAACTGAGAAGTTTGTGCAGTTGTGTGCAAAGCATTTGCAAAGTGGGGTACAGGATATACCATTTTTATGGCAACTGCATCGTCCAGCACATGTCGTCGTACATCCGCATTTGATGAGTTCGATTACTCCTCTGGGGGCTGGAAGAGAGAGGCAACGTACCGGAATGAAGCTACCTTTTTCAATTTTCCAGCCGTTCTGTTCTATAGGAGGAAGCTGTGGACGTTTTTCCTTATATGATTTGTCCCGCATAGACATGTAATTGGCTCGATTAATGTGAGGAAGCAGGGAAGCCCGAGTTGGAGGTAAGTTTTCTCCTTCTAAGTTTTTGGTCCGGAACAAATCCCACCTTAATCTTGAGATGTTTGCTGAACCAGATGAACTGTACACACTGCACACGAACTTCTCTAGGCATCTCACTTGTGGGGGTAGTTCGCCATTGATCAGCTCAGTGGGTAAGATATTCTCTCCGAGAGTTTGGAAACACATTATGATAGGGTCATCCTCATTGAGCTTCAGGTATGCACTGACCCAGGTTTTCTTCGTGATACCCATGAATTTCCCTCCCCAGTCTGCTCCAGAAAAGTGGTGGAGCCCGACAAGTCCCCGGCACATGTTATAACCGATAACATTTGCACGTTCTCTTACATCTATTTCTCTGTATTTTGTGGACTTTCCAGTCAGGAATTTTATTTTTGTTTCATCGGAAAGAGAACATCTGGATACGAGGTCAAGTAGAAGTGTCAATACATCAGTATCAGGTGACCAAACAGATATGTCTTGGCATGGGTTCTCTTTTGTAGCTTCAAGAACTTGTTGGGGAATGAGAGTGTCTGCCTCTTCGTGTGAATGTTGCTCCTCAAGTGTATGACTTGGAGAATTGGAGCAAAGGGGGGTTTTCGAAATCATCAAAGTTCCCTTTGAATGACCAGTCTCTATGTTGCATTATTTCATCACGTAACTTGTTGGCGATTATCTTCATTTAACTAACCATTTCACCATCATTCAACAAGGCAGACCGAAGCTCTATAGCCTCACTTACTACTCTTGGGAGAACTAGATTTTCGGATTCATTTTTCCGTGATGACTTCACAAACTGTACATCTGGCATACGGTCAGATATCAGGTGTTTGAGATGTTTACGGTGGTTTTCTTTCTCAATCACTGGTACTTGATACCTTCTCAAGATGGACAAATATTCGTCATTGACGTCAGACATATTAATTTGAACCTCAGGGTCAGCAAGGGTGTTTTGAACTGATGTGATTAGCTCTTCTTCACATGCAATTCGGATGAGTTGAGAAAGGCATTGACCCTCATGAGCTGAAGAACATGTACGTTGAGCATTTATTAAACATCTTCGATGATAATACAACTCAAGGGCGGAAGCATCACCTGTATCTTGCAAATGAGACACGCAGATCCTAACGTTATCATCATGAGTGTGTCGCTTGATATTGAAGAAGTTTTCACCCATGTTGTCCGACAAAACTCGATGAAGAGGCTCCTCGGGATTGCTGGTACAAAAGTTGCAAGAGGCAAACATACAGACTTCGGATTTAGGGGCAACCTTCAATCGCTTTGGTCTGCCTGATAATGCAGAGGTTGATGGGCGACCAGGACCCCTTTGGGTGTTGCCTGATTCATCTGATTGTTTGTCTCTGAGACGCTTGATATTGGATTTGTTCACAAGAGGTTTCCTGCATTCACTGTGGTAATGCAGAAGATCCCGTTCGGTATCGGTTGTACTGGATAGAAGTTTGGTTAGTTCCTCAAGGTGGGATTGACCCAGAGTCACTCTCTCTTGACAACATGATAATAGTTCATCAATCATAAACCGGTTCTTGATGAGGTGTTTGCTTGGCGTATCACCTTCTTTGCAGATGATGCATTTCTCAGACATGGCGAATTTCACACAGCGGAATTATGCCTGAAAATACACATATTGAAACATATAAGGACGGAATCATGTTTCTCATCCTTATCTAATTACCTTAACTAAGTATATTCTCCATTCTCCATATTGTCAGTAACATCGGTGCTGAAAAGATTAACAAATAACATGCATTATTATGTAAACTTATCTAAGGATAATTCTCAGCATGTAACTTCACTATTTCACTGATTCTTTCGCATCGATCGGACCTGGATACCTATGCTACCTTCTGAAACGCAGTGATAGACCCTTCCTTATGCTCTGGAAATATGACAAATGAACTTCTGATGTAAATTAACATTAAAAAGAAAAAAAAAAATATAAAAATCGGTCAGATATTGCCGAAAATGGAATTTTTCTGAATTTTGAGGGTTCGGGGGGGTTATAGACTCCCAGAGGGGGGTCAAAGGCCAAAAAAAATTGAACCCCACCATTTCTCCATAGCTGACTATCATATCAACCCATTGGACCAAAAAAAATAATTTTAACAGACAAATCATACGGGAGCTGATTTTGTGACATGTCATACTACACTAGAAGGACAGTTTTGACTTCAGGGAGTCAGATGAGCATCTAAGTGGGGGTGGTACGGGTAATGGGGAAGGAAGAGGGATTGGTGATGTACATGGAGAAGGAGAGGATGGGGTGTTTTTTGGTTGAGTGGGAGGAAGAGGGGTAGGGGGAACTTGAGGAGGAGGAGGAGGATGGATATCGGCATTGAATGTAGAGCGACTAAAGGAATTAGAGGGTAGGTGAGGGGGTGGATCATTCTCTTGGGTCATGTTCATGAACTCTTGGACGCCTGTGGAGCGACAGTGTTTGGCTGGGTGGCCAAAACGCCAACATTTCTGACATTGATGGGGAAGAGGTCGATATGGTCGGATAGGGTAGGACATTCCACCAATATAAACTTCATAGGGGAGGTCATATCTACGGAAGCTAATCTTGGCAATATTGGTGTAGACTTACTTTGGCTTCTGGGAGGAACAGTGTAGCACTGGACTGCTACTGCATCATAGTCGACGAAGCATGGGAGCAAGTCGTTTTCACAATCTGACCAGTCCTTGTTGTAGACAGGACAATCAGTTGGAGAGACGGAAACAGTTCCGGTACAAGTATCAGGGGAGGAGTGGGGTTGGGCAGGAACAAGTTTACCGGTGAGGTTAGCCAGGGTAGATGGTGCACAGGCTTGGGACTCAGATGTAACTGTGACAACACATGAACGATAAGAATGCCTGCGAAAGGAAACTCTGCCTGTTTGTTTTTGGAGACATTGTTGGAAGAGAAGGGTATTGTCAGAGTATGGGGTGTAGGAGGAATCACAAAGAATTGATCCCACTTGGCTGGGCCAAAGCAGGTACTCAAAAAGGTCTACAGAAGTGGAGGTAGTAGAAGGACGAGGGTGGGAGGAAAATGGGGTGGTAAGGAAAGAGGTAGTAATATTGGGAGGACTGAAGGGTAGTAATAAGGGGGTGGGGACAGACAGTGAAGAAGACTATGCAGTAGAAGATAGAGTGGAAGATGTTGAGAGAGAGGAAGGGGTGTATTCTGAAGGTTGAGTAATGACCTGGGTGGATAGAGTTGTCTTGTTCCTTTCTTATCCTGGTAGTTTCATTTCATCTTTCCATATAAGGTACCGTTTGTTTTTGTTATATGCATATTTTGACTATATCCCCTTTCATGTCCCCTTTGTAAGAACAAGTTCAAACATGGGAGATAATGCAGTTTCCCACCAGAACTTTTTTGCTCTGTGCTGGGTCGGTTTTCTTGGGACTTACACTGCATTTCAGTTCCTTTTGGCTTTAAGATACTTAACACTGACTCTGTGGTAACTAGTGTAGAATGGTTTTCTTTTAGTTCCTCCAAAATGTATAAATTTTGTTCATCTTCCATTTTCATTAAAGTTTAAATATTTATTCAACTTGACATACTTACCTTCTGGATATCAAGTCCATCAATTTTCCTTTCGTTGGAGTGGAAATAAAACGATGCATTAAGAGAAAATAGTGTCCTTTATCTCAAATATTGACCTTTAAATCAGTCTTACATACAAGGTCCAGACATTGCTGTCCTAATAGATTCTCTCAGTTTTAGATATATAATATTTCTTTATTCTGTACATCACCTTTATGATATTAAATCTTGACAAAGCTTTATTTTTTGTTTGTTTTTTACAATATAATTCAGATTCAGGCATATATATAGATATCTTTTAGCAATTTTGAACATGAAGCTGCACTGTTACTGATATATTATTTCAAATGTTTACAATCCTTTTAACAAAAGCAGAGATCTGCAGATTTACTGCAAGCAGGTTTTGACCCTAAGCTGAAGTTTTTATTAGCTGCAGTTTATAGCTTTTACCAAAAGCTGCATTTTCAAACCATACACAGGAGCCTTCTAGATCCTAGCAAAGGTTAATGTAACCAAAGACCCAATGATATGTCACAAAATATTAACAAATTAGTATATCTTCATAATTCCACATTACACATTCCCATAGACTGATAACATACCATATGAAACATAGTAATAATAACAATATTAATAATAATGATAATGATAATAATGATAACCACAGTCTTCGTAAAATTTCTTCCAGAAGAGTTTAAAACCTAGAAATAAACACAAGTTTGTAGTTGTCTCTCTCAAAATCACAATCAACGCACAGCACCCACCCACAAGCACACTACAGTTTAAAAGTGTAATGTCCTTCCAAAGCTGTTACATACACCAACACAGAGAAAGGTGAACAAAAAACGCATAAAAAAAGGGTGAAAAAAAGTACATATATCTCCATAAAAAAAAATAACAATAATATGAAGTCAGACTCTGAACTTCTCATTCCGGATCCTTTGCTTAACCAATATGATCTGAGATCCCAGCAGAAATCCCTAGGACAGAATGTGAGGACTTTCTCATTCCCGCTGAGGCAGAGGGGCACAAAAACCCTAACACTGAGAGGCGGAGAGAGTGAGAGAACACGGTAAGAGACAGAGAGAGGAAAAAAGCATTGAACAAAGGCGACTAGATAGGCAGGACGAATGGAAATAAAATTATAATGCAATGAAGCAACTACCTACCCAGTTACGGCAATTGAAATAATGAAGAATCATTAATAAAAAATATTCTATAATAATAAAAAAATATGAACAAATTAATAAATTTACACTTATCATGAATAAAAGAGAAATAACTAATTTTGCAAAATAGAACAAGGATACATTTGAGAATGGACAAAATGACATCTTTTCATCAAGTAGGGAATAGACAGACTAAAAATCCAAGTGAACAAATAAACAAAAATACACTATATGCCAGCAAAGATACACTAGATGAATATTTACTAAAAACAAAACAACAATGTTAGGACAGTGTCTCTAAGCAATTCCAAAATAGTTCTTGAGAAGTGAAGAACAAAATCCATAGACAGAATGGAGATGTAAAGAAAAGGGTGTGATTGCATAACTGAGAAAAGAACAATATGACTCGTGCAGTTTACTGTTGTCGTATTATGCACAAAAGATATTTAATGCTACAGAAGGAACAGTCACATCTGTGGCAGATACCCCTTCACAGTTCACTCAGCAAGTGGTATCACAACAAAGATAAAGGAATCTGAAACAAACACACACACGAAAAAAAAGATAAAAACAACCCTGCCTCCAAGTTCTGTTAGTGAGGTGAGATGAAGTCTTCCTTAACAACACATCACTTAAAACTACATTCACTGGAGGGCACACACCAAGAAAACCTTCTCCTGACAAACATGCACACACAACCCCTAGGGAAGTCATTCAGCCCAATGGAAGCTGTGATGCGGTATCATTGAAGAAAACGAGCCAGTGACGTGAAAGTGACACCGAAGACGAGGCATAATAAAAAGGACCTGTGTCTTGCTGTTGCTGATGAAGACTCATCAAATATTCTTCTGTCTATCATCATGTTGCTAGAGTGAGAGAGTGGCATTTAAAACTTTGGAATTATGAAGCTATGACTCTATAATGCCACCTACAAATTCATCATAACTGGACAAGTTACTTACAAAAAGGTTTTTTATGCCCAATGTCTGACATTAATTGTTACTGTGTTACATTTATCTATATTATAACTACATTGTTAATCTCAGAATTGTTAATATTGTTAAATCTGTCACTATACTGCATTAAAGATAACATGTATCAGTACACTTAATCTGATGTAAACTAATTGTATTAAAATATACTGAAAATGGTAATAAACCGGTTACACAGCCTCACTCTTATTATGCTTACAGATGGATATTTCCTACTTATCTTACAAATGTCAGCCTCTTTAGTGCTGAAAATTTTAATCCATAATGATGTAAAGAAATACAGCACAAACTCCAAAACTTTTAACATTCCTTTAAGTACCAAATGTTGGTCTCATTTCATATGTGTGTGTGTGTGTGTGTGTGTGTGTGTGTGTGTGTGTGTGTGTGTGTGTGTGTGTGTGTGTGTGTGTGTGTGTGTGTGTGTGTGTGTGTGTGTGTGTGTGTGTGTGTGTGTGTGTGTGTGTGTGTGTGTGTGTGTGTGTGTGTGTGTGTGTGTGTGTGTGTGTTTATTTTGTAGAGAGGTAAATTACCAGCATATACGGGTTACATATTATGTATTTATGATCTGTCATTCACTTCATTTCACTCAACTTCTTGCCAACTTCCTCTTTACATGTTAAGACAGATTTAATTTTTTCACAATTTAACTCATCATAGATGTTAAGCTATCACAAAGACCCAGGGGCACATAAAATGGACTGTTCTCCAAAAAGGCAATGAAACTGCGAGAAAATATACATACTGGAATATAAACAATATGAAGGAAAAGATTAAAACCTGAATATTTGGGAATTACCACTGGTTCTTTGAGGTTATAAAACTGCCTTCCACTTATAAGCCATTATAAAGTACTTCTAAGGTGTCCCTCATTTTTTTGCCATTATTTTTTGGGCCAAGTGCCACTAAAGACACCATTAATAAGCCCTCTTCCCTAGTAATTCAGCATATAAACTCATATGTGAAGGATAGTTTCAAAGTCTCAAAGTTCTGGTGGTACTTACCAACTTTGATAACCTGGATGTTCAAAAAGTGCATAGAATATTACTTCTCTCTGCCTCTGTGATGAATCAAACTTCTCAGCCAAGATTATGTAGGCTCGACATGAAGTAAATCTCTTTAAAGTGATGAGAAGTGCAAATTGACACACACGCATGCACACATCCCTTTACAGTCAAAGAGGAAACAGCAAGATTCATACGAGTGAACTGAAATCAGCCTTTCAGTCGACTTTCACGGTCCTCCTTGAAAGCTACCTGAAGCAGGAGCAGCAAAACATATGTTGAAAAGAGCATGAGAATATGCCTCCCACTCTCTTTATAGTACATAGTAAATCCTCTTACTCTGTCTCTCAGTATCCCAAATCTTTTATCATCTAATCCACTACTGAATTAAAACCGGTTATTTCTATGTCCCTCACAATAATAAGTTTGGTCAGCTACAAGATTTACTGTTGTGGGGACAAGCTATGAATTTCACAAGAGAACCACTAAAGTTAGACTAAGATTAATCCAAAGTCAATAAATCTTATCGTATCAATTGTGGTCCTGCATTATCCATTTCACTTCAAAGAAGGACAGGAAAAAAATCTCAACACGTTTGTAAGTGGAAAATGCTCATGGAAGCTCCCGTCACACTACTACTCCTTGCTATATCTTCAGTACCAAGCTAATCGCAGTATAACTTGTATCACAATCTTTTATAACTTGGGTAAGCAAAATATAAAATTCTAATCCTTGATAACAAGCATAGTCTAGTTTAATATTTTCTGCAGTTCAACAACTGAGTAATCATTTTGATATTCAAGATGTTTAACAGACACTGATCTCCGGCATCTGTTAGAACTTTTGTCTCAAGGAAATACTGGACCTGTTTCTTTTTTTTTCTATTTCTATTTTTCCCCCCCCAGCAATATGCTTTTCAATGAAGAAGAAAAAAACAGGATTCCTTGACATCACATGATTGTCTTTTTAGCAAATCTTCAATGCATCTGCCTAGCATGCTATCATCATCAACAAAAATACCCTCTTTTATATTCCCACAAACTCGGACCTACTACCGCCTTATTTTACATACAAACCTTTTGACCCATAATGCAGAGCTCTGAACCAAAAGGAAAGCCTCATGACTGGATTCCAATTCTGTTAACACTACAGAAACTATTCAACTGCATCATGATGATGTGACTCACAACTGCATTCTTAGAAGACATTGAAGAATAATTAAATGAAAAAAGCAGTAAAGTTACATCTCATAACAGCAAAGGTGCAGACAATACAAAGAACACCTAGGAGGCTTAGAGGAAGGAGGAGGAAAAAAGAGAAAGACAGAGAGAGAAAGAAAGAAAGAGAGAAAAAAAAGAGTTCAATGTGCCAATACTGCCTCAGCTCCTTGTCCCTCAAAAGGCCTAAAGCATCAGTGTTGACAATGCCGACATCATAAGCTCTGCCAGTCTGCGACCCAACACCTGGTTAAGTGCAGAAGACACGCATCTACATACAATAGAAAGGCACTGATCCTCCAGGACAAGTGAGCTATGACAACTGACATGTAATGAAACTGAAACCAAACTCTCTTTTTTTCTCTTTCTGTCTTTCTATTACTTTTTCTTTTTTCTTTTTCCCCTTAAAACTAACCCCCTAGACTGCCAGCTAGTGCACACAACCAACACAGAGGTGCTCAAAACTACACTGCAGTGCTCAAACAATTCCCCCCCAATGTACGAGCAAGTGCCCGCAAAAATTGTGGATCAACACGTACACAACAATACACGACAGCATCCACACCATCCATGCTAGTATCTTGGTCTTCACATTAGACATGTAACACTATACATCTTACTAAGGTGCTTGTTAAAGCCAAAACAATTCCAGCTGCTGGAAATCTCAACATTAATAAAAAATACAAATAATTTTTTGGGTGCTAGTGAAAGCAAATTATGTGCAATGTTATAATACTAGCCACTTTGTATTTACAGGAAAGGTGTGAACAAGAACAAGAATAATAAAAATAAAAAAGAGAAGCCTATGCCAGTACAATGATATATGCATGAGAGAAGATTTCTCCCAGTTATACTGGATGACTGAAGTAAGAAAAACTCTTACTTCTTGACTGGGGAAAATATGAATAAAGAAAGACAGAAAATAAAAAAGACTAGATAACTTCTCTGAATGTCTTTAAATTACAATCAAAGCCTATATAGTCAGCTGATTAATGATTTACAATATATCTGTAAAACGCAGGCAATACAATGTTTACAGACTTGCACTGGTTCAGTGCACCAATGTAAAGTATGCCAGTCTGATGCTTCAAGTCTTAGCATTTACAATGAAATATACACAACAGATACTCCTAGATCTATGAAAAGCTTCAACATCATTCACGTAATTCATTCCTTTTGGTTTCTCTCTCAAAATTTGTAGAGCAACATTTCCCTCTCAGGTCGGGATTGTGCTTGTCACTGTCATGAGAATAAAATATTTACACTATTACTCACTACATTTAAAAAATGGATACAAGGGGGAAGGGGTTAGAAGGAGAGTTCCATACTTTCTTAAAAGCTAACAACAGGGATCCTGCGCAAAAAGGTACACACCTGTAGTAAAGCTATGTGGAAGTAGAGGCAATCGAATCTTACAAATAACCCCAATTATTGATGTCTTCTCAGAGCTGGCATCAATCCAAGGCATTTTATCCTTCACCCTATGCTAAGCCTCCAAGGGACCAAGGACTAACTCCACATCAAGTAAAACTCTTTAATAGGAAGTGGAATGTACAGGCACTTTAGCCCAAGAAATTGGCTTGAAGGAGAATTTGTCAGGAATTGATGTTGGGGGATCCAAGATAAAATCTGTCTGTTAGCTTGAGAGTGAATGATTCTTTTAAAACTAGATAATCATCATAGGGAAAATCTGCTATCATGGTTATATTTTCACCAATGATGCATGTCTGAATTCTGCAAACTTGCAAGTCTATTCATCATTTTCTCTTGCAATCTACTGAAAGTTAACATTTTTAATCATACAATTCTAAACAAGAATTCTATTTTACTGTGATATGTAAAATTTACAGAAACTGACAAAAACATCAAATCAACCATTAGATTACTGCAAAAGTTCATATTAATCTAAATTGCCCTACGAATGTCTGTGAATAGAAGACAGACTAAAAAATCATGACATCTCGTAACTGGCTTACCGGTACAAAATTATAGACTTTTGTGTGTGTGAATATACGCAGAAAGGTGAATATTGGCAGTGTTATAAATAGCCTAATGTTAAAAAAGATTAGGCTGGAAAGTTACCATGAGGATTAGAAGGAAGGTTCCACATGATCATTAGGTAAGATGATAGTTAAGGCTTAGGGAAATCTGAGGTACAAAATGATACCAGCTCACTTGATGCTAGCGACCAGTCCTGACATCCACAGTCTTGACAGCCAGCTTAGAGAGCAGCAACTGGCCTTAACAGCATCTGGTTAACCAGGTTCTGGACAGCCAGTGTAGTGTTAGTTGTAACCATTAAAATTTGGAATGCCCATCATCTAAGTTAAATCTGAAGTTACCCTTAGGTGACAGGTGAAGAATGTTACCAGATGCTGGGTAATGCCTTATTTTGCCACAAGTCCATGTCCTGGTTGCGAGGATGACATCTCGCAAGCCTGGCTGAGAGCTGGACAATCGTCCATGTACGGAATGGCGCCAACTAATCTACACCCATCCTCACAAGACTTTATTGAAAACTTTATCTTTTGTTATTATGTTAATACCCTCAGTAACCTGACATCTTAACAAAAAGGAGTCTTGCCTTTTAGAAACCTTGGCTGAGTCAATACAGACATGTACAGACATATGAATGCCAGACATAACTCACCAAGATGCCAAGATTAACATATCTCTCATACAGTTCTCAGCATTGTGTAAATTATCATGCTTTATAAACACCTCCAGAGACATTAAATGATGCTGTTATTGCAACACTTTACAAGCAAGCTGTAACAAATAACAAGCTATATCCTGCAGGATGCAAGATCGGTCAAAGCAGTTCCTCCTAGCGACCCAAGTTACCATGCAGTATAACAGTGACAGATAGCCGGAAACCTAGTGTTATTCTCTGAGATTCTATAACTTGCTCAAGCATACATTACCGTGAATGTGGGCAAGTCCAACGTAGTCATTGTTCGATCATTACTCTGCATTTCCACCAACCAGATCTCTTGTACTGATACATTCTCAATGAATAGATTCAAAATCAAGGCGAAAAAACAAAAGTACAAATGCCCATGATTATTCACATACTTAAAATTCATGGGGCAGTGGGGCAAGTATTCACACAAATTCTTCATTAATCAAATTTCAACCAGAAAAAAATGTAATATCTGACCGTGGCCTTTTGATTCACTCAGCCCACCAAATACCTTCCCCAGATCCATAATCTCACAGACTGACTACAGTGCCCTTCTACTTCCAGGAACAATGGGACAAACAAAAAGAAAAGAACATGCAAGGAAACACCACAGCTGTCTTCAAAAGAAGAAGCGGGCACTAACAAAAATCCCTTTAAGGAAAGTTAGTTGTTAGTTGGTATGTTAAGGAACAGATACCCTCCCTATATAGCACCCATCTAGGACAGATAATTTTTCCTTTTCCTTTATAATGGACAAAAGACCTTCATCAAAACTGGCTAAAAAAGAAAGATTGCCTTTTTTCACGAAATTTGCATTCAGATATCATTTTCAGGACACAAACACATACTCTAATATTAACACAATAAGGAGACCTGCTGAAGAAAAAGTTGTAAAATTTCTGTGATAATGATAACAAGAAGAGAGATGCAAAAAGAGTAGGGAGAGAAAAGGAAAGAGAGAGAAAGGGGGAAGAAGTGACATGTACTTGCCAGTTCATGAGAAATTCAATTACTGATCCATCAGTGAATATAAAACTTACAAAAGCTCAATACTTGAAATGGAAAAAATTGGGATCTTTATATTGTTTTGATTTTTTATTATCTTTTTATTTATTGATTTTTTGTCAACTGATACGAGTTGTAGAATCCTTAGTTGTAAAATTTGATTCTTGCTAATTCTATAAAGATGAACTTTCTGTATGACATCACATATAATTTTTTTTATATATAAAGTTAAATACAAAATTCTTTTCTCTCAAACAGTTTTTGCTCTCTCTACAAAAGGAAAGAACACAAAGGTACTCCATCAAATGCCAAATTTATACAAAAGTTAGTCTCAAATTCCAAGCATTTTGGCCAATTTCCAAGACTTATTTTTTGAGACTGGGATATCTTACGACCCTGACATATGATATGTAACAGTTTGGAAGTCTTGGAGAGGCTGTCATGAAAGGTTACAGATGCATTAGCCAACAGTACACAGCAGACTAAACTGGCAAGCTTTAAGTCTTTCGATAAAAAAGGTCGAAGCTCTTTTATATGGTGCTGTTCTTATGAGTGAAAAATCCTCTCCTGTTTTTTACATAAGCATGATGAGAAGCAAACATGCTGCTACTTATGAATCAAAAACAATACACCTGAAATATACATCAAAGCTCATCAGTAACGAACTCCCACTGCAAAACCTCTTTGCTTTCCCTGCCACTGCAATGAAGAAGAAAAAAAACGAGAATAAAGAAAAGAAAGGAAAAAAGGAAGAAAGAAAGAAAAAAAGAAAGAAGAAGAAAAAAAGACCCTTCCAGCACATACAAAATATTTTTTTTCCCTAACATTAATGTCTTACCATAAATTATGCTGACAAGTTCTTACTAATACCTTTGTTATCACATTGAGCAAAGTGCATTTCCAATCACTCCTGACCAGATTCATAAAATAATTTGGAGGATTCCTTTCGAAGCTGCAATACCCAGAAATGATTATGCTAAAAAGAAAAGAAAAAAGAAAAAGAGAGAGAGAGAGAGAGAGAGAGAGAGAGAGAGAGAGAGAGAGAGAGAGAGAGAGAGAGAGAGAGAGAGAGAGAGAGAGAGAGAGAGAGATTACAATCAAATCTGGTTATGGAGCTAACTACAGCACCCACAAACCAACAATAATATGCAAAAATCCAAAGAAATATAACAATACCCTAGAATTACATCAGTACTGCTTTTTTAAAAATTCAAACAAGAAAACATTAACAAACAAAACAAAGAATTCTCACGAGCAGCTCAGCTCCCATGGCAAGTGTCTGTTCCTTTCCTGATCCCATCCAGGACTCAACTCTACAGTAAATTTGGGTTGTAGCTGTATTATGCTTTAAAGCTTGAAAGGGCAAGAACATTGAACTGTAAACACCTACAAAGGTGTAAACAAATGTATATCTACATTATGGCTATGGCAGGTCCTTAGCCATGCTATGAGTTTATAAACATAATTAAATAATAGTTTAATACTGCATATAGATATCAAAATTTCTTCAAGTAATAAATAATAGATTTCAGCAGTTCTGAAAAAAAATCATAACAAAATATGATCATAATGAACATAGCTACAAAGACACACAAAGTGCTTACATAATCTTAAAATCCTATTGCATTACGACACCTTGCCAGTTCGTTCTGACAAAGGAATGGCCCAAAAGCACAAGTTAATGAGACCTACTTATCAACGTCGTCATTCTCAGAGCCTAAAGGGTTTTCCAAACACACCATAAGCAACAAGAATTCTGTCTATCAACAAGTGGTATACTTGGACGAAAAAGTCTAGCTCTATGTGGAACACCTTCAAGCTTAGACTGTGACTTTAAACATGGGCTCAGGTACAATGCCCATACAATTCAAGGAAGTCCTGTGTCCTCCTTTACAATTCTAACAGTAACAGCTTACCCAATGTGAAGACAATGTTAGTAAAGTTAACTCAAAAGCTAAAAATAATCACACTAGGAAGAAAAAAAAGAGAAAAAAGAGAGATAATTTTCACAACATAATACACAGGAGATAAGAAACAAACACAGAGCAGACTCACACAGTTATTAGAGAACATTCCATATAACATTATAAAAAAAAGGGCTATTATGGGAACAGGTACAAACAGTAGCCCTTTATTTTTACTTTTTTTTTTTTGTCTTGTTTTGTTTGCTTTTTACCACTGCAAAATACAGCTTTTAGTTTGGTGGTTTACTTGATATGATGCCATATACTTCTTGCAAAATAGTTCAACCTAGAAATAAATACCACACACACACAAAAAAAAAAAACTCCCCAGCTTTTCCATCAACAAAATTTGGAAATTATCTCGAATCTATAATGCAAAATACAATTCCGAAGACATCGCTTGATCCCAGAATACAAACAACAACTATATATGCATACAGTTTCCATTACAGAAAACAAATAGGCAAGGCTCTCAACAACAGCATTTTGATTGTATAAGAAAACCATATGAATCTCACTTCTGAAAAAGCAAAACTTTTTTTTTTCTTCAAGAAGTAAGATTGCAGTGTCTTCCTCTATTTTTTTTCATTATTTTGTCAAAAATATGAAAATTCCACAACAGCAGCTAGAATAATAATTTGTGTAAGAGCTCGACTGAGGCAGGAAAGAAGAAAAGAGGAAAACAAAGAGTGAATGAACAAGAGAAAGAGAAAGAGAATAAAGAAGGGTAAGAAAGAGGAAGAGACAACAAAGAAGAAAGAGGAAGAGACTACAAAGAAGAGAGGAAGACAATAAAGAATAAAGAAAGAAAGGAAGGAAGGAAAAGAAAGTGAGAGAGAAAGAGAAAAAAAGTTAATGTGCCTGAGAGGGTAGGCAGCAATGTGTCTGTGGAGATGTCTACACTTGCCTTTCCTTATCTACCAAGATTTTTATCAATAAACTTCCACAACATTGCTGCTCTAGACTTTGCAAATAGATTTCCAGCACTATAGAAATAATCAATAAAAAAAGGGAGCAAATTACCTCCCATTATCCATAAACATTGATGCACAGCAATGTACATATTCCAATAACAACAGAAGCATAATCAACAATTATCTATAAATACTCTTCCCATCTAAAGCATAAACAAAAACATGCCACATGCAGCTCATATATACCATAAAACAGCTGTAAATGCCACATGCATGGGGGGAAACTTCTACAAAAAGTTTATCACAAAAAAAATTCAGCATCCATTTTTTTTTTAGGCACCAAGAAATATTTCGTACCTTCGCTCCTCCGGGATGCGCGACCCCTAGACTTGCTGCAATAGCTAACTCATGCTGGGAATATCTCTTCGTGCTATAACCGAACTTCTGCTAGGGAACAATTTGGGTTGGCGGGGAGGAGGATGGGATGGCAAAAACCACAAGCAGTATTAGGAGTCAAGAGAAATGTACAATAAAAAAAAAAAAAAAAATAATAATAATAATTAGTAGAGGGGTAGGGAAGAAGGGGATGATTAGGGACCAACAACTTCCCCAACAGATTCATGATCCTGAGTTGAGCTATCGATAACAAGAAGACGGGACTGAACGGGTGAGAGGAAGGTCTGAATCGCTGTGTCTCCAGCGTCTGCGGTCCACTAGAATCGACGTGACGTATGAACCCCATTGTGCTAACCAGCCCTTAACACACAAAAATAATCCTATATACTTTTCATCTAACAACTATGTAAATAATATTTCATTTATATGTGTGAGTCTGATGTAACTAAATGTGAACATGTCTCTATATTACAAGTGTGTATATACAGAACAGTGCATAACATTTACATGTTAAAAATAAGAGAGAGACAAAAAAGGAGAAGAAAGAAGGGAAAGAAAAGAAACTAGTTCACTAATCCTTAAACTATGAAACAAAAAATAAACCACATGGAGGCTGTTTAATCTCTCCTTTCCTATTCCGAGACTCATGACTTAGTTTCTTATTTTCGGCATTCACTGAAAGGAAAGGAGTAGAAGGTTCGCCCCTTCACGGCATCTTTCATCTTGGGGATAATGTAATATTCTTGGTCTTACCACTCTCGTTAAAAAAATCACTTTTACTAAACTTTTACCTTTTACCTTTGAATAAATGGCCTCCCTTAAAATAAAATTGGATTGCTAGGCATTGACCATTCTTAACTCGCGCACCAGTTGATTTTAGTTCCTTTGGCCGCGGCAACACTCTTGAGGTCAGCCTGGCCCTTGGAGGTTTTCAGCTGTGACCGTGGCTCGGGCTGGAGGGCGGCAGCTGCTCCGGGCTCAATCTGGGCGGATGGTCTTCCTGGCGAAGAGGAAGGGGGGGCTTTCCCTCCTTTGCTTGCACTGGCTTGACTTGTGCTGGCTTGGGTTGCCCCAGCTTGGTTTGACAAGCTTCTCGTGTTTGGTTGGGGAGGATTGGATTGGTCAAGGGCTTCAGCTTTGCTACTGGCATCAGATGGCCCCGTGACTGATGGTCGTGTCCAGGTCTTTTGGTCCAGCTTGCGTCAGGAGAGGGACTGTTGGTGAACCTTGGCTGACAGGAAGGTGTGCAGGATGAACACGAATGGCTTGGGGTTGGTTTTTAGGTCCAGTTCCTGGAAGTGGGAGAGTGCCATCAGATTCTCTGACCATAACAGTAGTTAAGTCTACGCTTTTCAATTTTACCTTTTTTCTTGTAATATACATGGTGTCTCAACTACATCGCATGTACACAAATGATGGATTAATGTTTAAAAGAGAAAATGTAGAAGAACTTAGTCTTCTTTACTTTTTAACTTGTTTTCTCAGAATATAATCAAATGATTAATCTCTGATGGATATGAATCTGATTAACCCAAGGGCAACAGATGATGTCATATCTTGTCATGGATAATAATCACAGACAACAGATGATGCCTCATCAGGTCATGAGTCTGTATCCTAATGACTAGGATGAGACCTCGCACATGATACTGTAAACTGGACAACTGCTCAGGCATAGTGCAGCACACTAATGAATACCCATCTTTGGCCAACTTTACAAAACTCAAGAAAAAAACAAACATGAATCAATAACAATATGAGCTCTGATGTACAGCCAACATTATCATCAATAACATAAATACCACATCCTTTTAGATATACTTTATACAAAAGTATAAAGAAATTCAAGTGTGGGTAACAGGTATCTGTAGCTATATAATAAGATAAAAAAAAAATTCTTACAATCATAAACCATTATAGAAGGGCAAAGTATAAAAACAAAGCTCTGGTAAATAACAATCTGAAGGCATACTTTTATCCAATATGTGAAATGACTTCAACCTCATTACTAAATCACAATATTTTATCTTTGAAATTAGCTCAAGTGAAAGGCATTCATGTTGAGTTACTGGCATTGGAGAGGTCACATTAACTTCTCCATACATCCTAAAACACTTACAACTTCCATGTCCCCGTCAAAGCGCAGCCAGATGAGTCTCGCTCCATCATCTGAGCTCATGACTAGTTTGTGGAAGGGCTGTGTCCATAGAACACGTCCACGCCCACCTGCTGCATCGTGTGTCGAGAGCAGTGTGAAGCCGTCCTCATGATGTAGGACTAGCTTGGCCTCGACTCCCCTCCACTCACAATCTGGGGAGAAAATATGTGGCCCTCAATTTCATTACACTTAGGTGATAATTTGAAGGTGAAGTACAATAGAAGGAGTATAATCTTAAGCCATATTAAAAGAAGGTGTACTGAATTCAACAGTGTTAACTTTATGCTATGCCTAAGACTATGACTAAGTCTGAAGGTCTAATGCCTCCTCTGTTAGTATTATTAAGATCAAAACTATTTATCTCAAACTGGAAACTCTGTATTTAGAATATTTAACTCAAAGCAACAGCATAACCTTCCACATATTCTTAATAAATAAAACACATGAAATAATGACTCTGAGACTACTTACAGCAAGCAACTTCCTTCTGTCTTTGCACAGCATTGTGTGCTCCCTGGACTAGCACCTTCACCCAAGTAGCTAGGTCACGCTGAGTGTCGTGCCGGAAGACACTCGTGCACACGCCCTCCTGCGTGCCACACCGCATGGTCATTGTGATGGGCTCACTGCCTCCTAGAGATCCCTTATGTGTCGAGTTGACAATTCTGGATTGGATTGCAAAGCAATGAGGAGCAAGGTTAGGCTTTGTTTGAATAACACTGTTCAAAAGGTTTCATAGAAAATGGGAGAACACAAACCAAAGTAGCTAAAGTATTTTATAATCTAATTTCATATTCTTTATTTCTGTTACTTCTGGCCATTATTTTAAAACAACTGCTTGCTTATTTATTCTCCTGACCTAGTTAGATTCTAATGGTACTGTTTTCTAATGACTAATTTTAACATGTCTATAAAATTGTTTAATAATCATTCATAATGAATTTTTTGGAAGTTTTTCCAGTTACATATGCTTGCACAAAAGCTTAAAGAATTCACACTAAAAGTAAAATCAAGCAGAGAAAAAATAATAATGTACAGTGCTAACATCTCACATAATCAAAATTCTTTCTTCTTTCTTTTTCATATCATTATCATGATCATTAACAAAATAGATAAGAAAGAAACTAAATATCACCTAGTTGCAAGTAGTGGGTAAAAAACAAGGGGGTTTGCCCAAGCTTCTTTTGTCCAGGGAACCTCCTGGAAGAGGATCATATCATGGTCTGTGACTGCGCAGAACTGAGGCTCCCACTCCTCCTTGCCCTGGAAAGGAGAATTTTAAGTTAGATAAGCACTGACCTTATGGCAGAGATAAAGAGATTGAGACAGAGACAGACAGAGACACAGAGAGAGACTGACAGAGACAGACAGAGAGAGAGAGAGACAGAGAGAGAGACAGAGACAGAGAAAGAGATAGAGAAAGAGAGAGAGAGAGACAGAGAAAAAGACGGAGACATAGAGACTTAGACGCAGTTACCAGTTACACCATGGACATTTAAAACTGCTCTAATACACAAGAATGGAATAATCCATCAAAATAAAATTCTTCAACAGAAATCCTCTATAGACCCAACCACAAA